ATATATATATATATATATATATATGTATATGTATATCTGTGTGTGTATGCTCTAATGTGAAACACTATTTTATAAAATAATGTTATTAAAATCTAAAAATTTAATTTAATGATATATTTTCATTATAATTATTAGATTAACATTAAATTTTAATATTTAATGACACTAATAATTAATTTAATAATTATAATAAATTAAGTCGTAATAACATTGACCCCTAGAAGTACTTTTGGCAAATAGAGAAGTCACGCCCACTCGCACACGAAAAAAAACCCACAAAATTCACAATGCACTACTGGAACAAGCAAACACAATGAGAGACCATGACTGCACATGGAAACTCCCTAGTCCAGGGGTTAGCTCCATGTGATTATTGAGGTACTAGGTCAATTCCTGTTTAGAAGTTCCTCAATCATTTGCAGTGCAATCCTCTCCTCTTCTTTCATCTCTTCTCCTATTTCCAGTTCGATAGCCTTTTCCGGCGTCTCAGTCGCCGGCTTCTCCTTTGGACTTTGCTCATCTTTCTTCTCCAACTCCACTGTCATGACCCAATTCGAATCAGAACGCGAACCAGCTCGCTTTTGCCACACCCCAATATGAGAATTCTCTGTGTCAAGCCTAAGGCAAGTGAGAGAAGGAGATGGGTATTTACAGCACTTGCGAAGTTTCGCACTAAGGATGGTTGAAAGAGCAGTCGAAGATGAAGGAGTAGAATTGTCATTTTTGCCAGTATGGTTTGTGGCCACTGGAAAATTTGTTTTTGCATTCCGGCCACTCATTAAAACCGCCGCCTCGTCGTAGGCTCTCGCTGCTTCCTCCGCCGTTTCAAATGTTCCAAGCCACACCCTTCTCTTCCTAAAACATAGAAAAAGAAGAGAAGAAACAATATATATTATGCATTTGAATTACAAAAAAAAAAAAGTGGTTCTAATTTAAGAAAATGAATCTTTGGGGGGTTACAGTAAAGGGTGACGAATTTCAGACACCCAAGAACCCCAGTGGCGTTGCCTGACGCCTCTGAACTTCTTTGATTGTACCATGTTGTCAGAGAGGAAGATACACAGAGAGAGAGAGAGTGAGAGAGAGAACTGAAAATGNATTAAAATCTAAAAATTTAATTTAATGATATATTTTCATTATAATTATTAGATTAACATTAAATTTTAATATTTAATGACACTAATAATTAATTTAATAATTATAATAAATTAAGTCGTAATAACATTGACCCCTAGAAGTACTTTTGGCAAATAGAGAAGTCACGCCCACTCGCACACGAAAAAAAACCCACAAAATTCACAATGCACTACTGGAACAAGCAAACACAATGAGAGACCATGACTGCACATGGAAACTCCCTAGTCCAGGGGTTAGCTCCATGNGGGGGGGGGGGGGAGTTGAATCGAGTGAATATATTAGTACAAGCAGCTCGATAACATTTAACAGAAAAGGATCTGCTGTCGGTGATCTTACAGCTTTGAGTAAGCATTATTAAACCCTAGTGGATCTGATAAAAAAAAAAAAAAACCCCTAGTGGTTCTGTACCATTACCTACTCTGCCCTACCATGGCCAGTTCTGGGTCTCTCTCTCTCACTCAGATATTCTTTATTGGGAAGGCATTACCCTAAAGGCTCTGTTTGGGTGAAATGGATGTATGTGTATAGGTGCAATTTAGGCGGCTGAATTTGAACCTAACTGGACATATTCACCAATTGAGCAACTATTTTCAGTTCTTGAATTGAGTTTTGATTAAAAAAAAAAAATACTTAACCCATTTACATTTAAAACAATATTTGGTTTGAGATATGAATTTGGGATTTAAGTTCCAGTCAAATTTAACGTTAATTTCAACGAATAATAAAATCTGAGTTTCAACTTGAAAATAAAACTCGTAACTAAACCCAAGGTTCAACTCGAGTTACCCAACTTAGTTTAATCTAGATTCAAAGTTTTAATAGATTTGAATTCAGATTGAATTCGAGCGAAAGGTTTCTACAATTTGAATTGCAGTCAACTGGACCTTTCTCATAACTAGGAGTATGGAAAAGAACAATCAAGAGTTCATATTTGATCCATCAAACTGTGAATGCACATGCTGGATACTAACTGCCAAAAGGGATAGAGGACAGTAGAAAATGCATAATGTGATATATATGGTTACATTTAACTTCTTGTGCATGAAGCTAGAGCATGCACGTACGAGCTGCATGTGGACATAGTTCAAGGTACCCAAAGAGAGAAAAAAAAAATAGGTATTGTGTCAAAAATTATGATATTTAAAAATAAAGTTTCACATTTTAAAATGAAACTTGCGTTTTAAAAAATTATAATTGTAACTTTTATGATCGATGATAACATGTCTTTTATAGAGCCAAAAATAGTTGTTGGATGATGAGACTTTTCTGAAAATACTCCAAGATGAAGACACGTGTCCTCAGCGTCACTAAAAATCTTGTTAACTGAGATCACGTACCATCGGCTTTACAACTCCCTCGCCCGAGGTACTTGACACGTGTCGAGTATGTTTTACGTACCGACACGTATCCCTCGGTCTGGTATGGTACCTCAGTCATCATGTACGGCTTCCCTCGGCTCGAGATGTACCTTTCCTCGGTACCGAGATGTGCATGTCCTCGGTACCGAGATGTACCCCCGTCCAAGATTTCTTTTTCTCTGCTCCAGTATAAGCTATTGATGTACAGGTCATTAGCCTAGGCTAGTTTAGGTTAGCTATCATGGTCTCGTCTTACACAATTGGTGTCAGAAGGAACAAGGAAGGCAGGGTCCACAGCCAATAAGGGATGGACGCGTGGCAAATTGTGTCACATCAGAGACAGAAAGACCGCATGCCCTTACTGACACGCGACTTGGGAAAGCAAACATTTAATTACACCATTCCCTTGATGAGACCGCATTCAATGCGGTAAGGCTCGGAATTGAAAGACAATAAATGTCTCTAAGGCTGGGCATTTATTGCATCCTCCCCGAGCGGAGATCATTAGACAGTCGACAGCCCGATGACACAGCATTGATTGCTCAGCGCCCCGAGCAGTTAAAGAAAGGAAGACATTCCTCATCAGAATCAGTGCGCACACTGCCTGTACCTAATGATCATCTACTGATAACACTGACAACAATCATGAGCTTTTGAGGTATAAATACTCCTCATAAAAGACAAAACGGTATGCAACAAAAACTCTTTACTACGAAATATACTCAGTGCTTTCTTCTTTCTCGCCCTTTCAAAAACTGACTTGATCGTCGGAGGGGATAAGCCGGAAAACACTCTAGCGCCCTTCTAACTTGTTCTCCTTTGTTCCAGGAACCTTTTCCCAGTCTTACTGGATCATTCCTTCAATTCACGAGGGNAACTTGATCGTCGGAGGGGATACGCCGGAAAACACTCCGGCGCCCTTCTAACTTGTTCTCCTTTGTTCCAGGAACCTTTCCCCAGTCTTACTGGATCATTCCTTCAATTCACGAGGGTCTCCCGTTACCGTTCCAGGTTACCACCGGACCTTGCAGGCTGTCCCAAGTAGCGTGGTTGATCACTCAACTAATTCACTCGAGTTCACCAAGGGAGAGATATGTTCTCGTTTTTTATATTGTGCAAGATCCTGCACGTAGAATCTGGCGCCGTCTGTGGGAAACGACTAGTTTTCCTAGTTTTTTCTCTATAAAGAACAGTGACCATGGTGAACATTCGACAAAAAGGGAAAGATCCCCACCAAAGAAGTCTCGAACTACAAGCTCCCTGTCACCACGGAGGTAGGGATCACACTGACAGGAATAAAAATGTCTCCACTCAGTCCAGAGGGGTTACCCCTCAAACCAGTATGGGAATTAGGTCAGGAGAGTCAGTCCCCCTGGCTCATCAGCTGGCGGAGGTGATCGAAGAAAAGTTTGGCGATAGATTACAACAGCTGGAAAAGGACAATGTAAACGTCCTAAGCCGGCTCAACGAATTCGCCGCCTCCAGCGAAGGGTCGAGGTACTCATTCCTCTCTCGTGGGCTCCTCGCCCGGGAGGCGAAAACGAAGGATCTAAGGAATCATCTGAACAACAAGGCGGAGAGCTCCCGGGCTCCAAAGCGACCGAGAGCCAACGAGCACCTTCTTAACGACTATTCAAGGAAGGCAAGACCATTAGCCCTGGACGACCTCCAGCGAGGATTGTCTAGACGAAGGGAGGGGGATGATTCTGAGGAGGATTCTTCCCTATCCGCATGACGCCTAGGAAATGAGGGGCCCATTGATGAGCTTAAGGACGTCAGAAGACATCCCGTCAGGGAGGAAATTGATCTCAGAGCTCGGCTGAAATCGAAGAGAAAGAGTAAGGCTATCCAGGATGAGGTCGAAGACGAGGTCATACAAACACCCTTCACCAGGGAGATCGGAGAGATGGAGGTTTCAAGAAAGTTCATCGTGCCGAGGTTCAAAACTTATGACGGGCGGTCCGATCCCGAAGCCCATCTCAGACAATACAAGCAGATGATGTCCCTCTATCATTCGGACCAACGGTTTCTCTGCCGAGTGTTTCCAATGAGCTTGGGGGACTCTGCGATGAAGTGGTTCGAGGCGCTTCCCCCAAACAGTATTGGGTCGTGGAAGGAATTGACGAGGCAGTTCCTGGCTCGATTCATTACGGGGAGTAAGCGCCCCAAAGACGTTGGATCATTGCTGACCCTCCGACGTAGGGAATCTGAGACCCTTCGCCAGTATGCCATCCGATACTGGGAAGAGGTTAATGAGGTAGAAGGTTGCTCGGAAGTCATGGCAGCAGCTTNTCAGTCCAGAGGGGTTACCCCTCAAACCAGTATGGGAATTAGGTCAGGAGAGTCAGTCCCCCTGGCTCATCAGCTGGCGGAGGTGATCGAAGAAAAGTTTGGCGATAGATTACAACAGCTGGAAAAGGACAATGTAAACGTCCTAAGCCGGCTCAACNTCAGCTGGCGGAGGTGATTGAAGAAAAGTTTGGCGATAGATTACAACAGCTGGAAAAGGACAATGTAAACGTCCTAAGCCGGCTCAACGAATTCGCCGCCTCCAGCGAAGGGTCGAGGTACTCATTCCTCTCTCGTGGGCTCCTCNAGGATCGAAGACGAGATAGGAAGCAGCAAAGGCCGAACCCTGCAATCTAAGAGAAAAGAGAGGGAGCGGGAAAATACTCCCCGAAAGGGGTTGCTGCCCCCTCCAGGGGGTTCGTCCAAAGGAGTTCACACTATGTTCAAAGAACCTATCTTCAAGTTGCTCCATAAGATCAAGCACGAGCCGTTCTTCAAATGGCCGCTCNCAACAAGGCGGAGAGCTCCCGGGCTCCAAAGCGACCGAGAGCCAACGAGCACCTTCTTAACGACTATTCAAGGAAGGCAAGACCATTAGACCTGGACGACCTCCGGCGAAGATTGTCTAGACGAAGGGAGGGGGATGAGTCCGAGGAGGATTCTTTCCTATCCGCATGGCGCCCAGGAAATGAGGGGCCCATTGATGAACTCAAGGATGTCAGAAGACTTCCCGTCAAGGAGGAAATTGATCTCAGAGCCCGGCTGGAATCCAACANTCGCACCGAAAGCTGCAGGGTGTACAAATCGTTCTTGGAAAAATTGGTCCGAGACGAATACTTGAAAGAATACATAGAGCCCAGGCCAAAAGAGAGACACACCATTGCCCCGACCGAAGAACCGGACAACGTCATAGATGTCATCCATGTATGTCCCCTAGATCGCCCCACGTCCAAGGAACTCGAGTCCGACCTCAAGAAGGTAGCTTTTACAAGGAAGGTGGCCGAGGATGATGGAGGGCCACCCAGTAAAAGGGCCAGGATTGGTGAACCAAGCATTATGTTCTCAGACGCGGACTTGACAAGCGTAGTGACTCCTCATAACGACGCCCTTGTCTTGACCCTAAAGATAGGAAAATTCGACGTCAAAAGGGTGTTGATAGACTCTAGAAGTTCCTCGGAAGNACTTGACAGGCGTAGTGACTCCTCATAACGACGCCCTTGTCTTGACCCTAAAGATAGGAAAATTCGACGTCAAAAGGGTGTTGATAGACTCTGGAAGTTTCTCGGAAGTGATGTACACCGAG